GTTCTCCACGAGACTTCATCCCCATCATAGGGTGAGCCAGAAGGTGAGTGATGGATCCTCCCTGAATTCACGCCCACCACCAACACACTTCCTAGCAGACATGATGCTCAATCTGCTGCCACCAGAAACCTGATTTCTTTCTTCAAAGAACAGAAATAATCCATAGAAAGTTCAGCGTCTGCCAGCGTTTTGGGAGAATCTGGGACGTCAGGCAGACGCTGGATAAATCATCAAGGCATGACCGGGACCTCATTTTTTCCAGTCACTTATAAGCAGGATTTACACCAGTTCTCCCATTTGTTTCTGTGAGGAGTTCTAGTGAACGAGTGAACGTCTTCCTGCCTAATAGCTGACTGATCATTGCTTTGCATCGATTGGACAATCCTCCCAATACTCACATACAGACCTAAGAGCAGAAGCTCTGTGATGGTTGGGCTGCTGTTGGGGGTGAAAATGGTAAAACATTGATCGGTTCATCCATTAAAGAGCCCTTACCTTCCGCCCTCCTGTATTCAGCCTCAGAGGGGTCAGCTGGGGGTCAAAGATCATGTGGCTCGTTTCAATGTCGATGGGGGACTGCCTCTTCCCGATGGCACACAGGTTCCAGGCCGAGTGGACCAGACCCCAGAAAGATGGGACTAGTGGAGAAGAAGGAGACAGAGACAGCGCTTTATTCTACAGGAGGCTCACGAAGACCTACGGTGGAGTAGAGCCTCAGGAATGACGGAATAGAATCCATAATAATCGAATAGATTCAGTTCAATTATGTTTGAGTTCAGAACAACTATTATTAAATGTCTTTAACAAGCAGTAGGAAACTATTTCTCTTTTATTTCCCCTGATCTACAGCGATGGTTCACCGAGTCAGCTTTTCAGATTCACTCAGATTCACTCCTTTGTTCCCAAATGATACATCCGGTTTTTCTCAGTGAGGTAACATTTTTATAATAATAAATAATTGCAATAACTTAATAATAATGAACAGAAACCACTAATATCCAAGTGATCGGACCTGTCCTGGTTCTGGTTCCAGGTTCCAGAACCTGGATCAGTTTGAAATGAGATCAGATGCACAGCGAGCTGAAAGTTTGCTTTATTATAGAAGCTGCTGAGTGGGAGTAGCAACCGTTTTTACACCTAGTGTGTGAAAAGGCAGCCGAACAGACAAAAAAAAAACATTTGTTTACTGAGGCAGCAGGAGGAATGTGAAGAGAATCAGAGACAAAGACATCTCTGGTCAGATTAGGAAGGAAAACAGGTTTCTAGCATCTGGAAAAATGGGTCATAAAATCCTGACTGCAGGCAGCAGTGATGATCCTGTATCTGTGAGTCCATTCTATGAAAACTAGTCTAGATTAGCACGTTTCCATTTGTGTATTTAGCTATGAGAGAACCTCACAGCGTAGGTTGATTTCAGGCAGAGCTTTATTTCTAGCTGCTTCCAGGTTGTTACTTTGCTGCAGGGGGGAGATCTAGTCGCTTCTATTCTATTCTGTTCTTTTCTACTCTATTCTGTATGAAAGGACCTGACAGGTCAGCGGTCATAATGTTTTGCCTTTCTGCTGTTGAACCTTAAAGCCTCAGCATTGTTTCCCATTGAAGGTTTTGGACTCTCCCCGCTGCGGCCAGCAGAGGTCACTGTTCAGCTGCTCCAGTTTGCTAACGCTGATGTAAGTCAACTGTAAGCAGGTGAGCAGCTTCTACATGCTGCTGCTCTATCATCTCCGAGGATCAGTGAGGAAGAGCAGCTGAGGGCCAAACCAAGCTGAGCTCCACCAGAACAGAATGTCTCTAAAACTCCAACATGGCTGCTCAGTCAGGCTTTCTGTCATTATGCATTAATAGGTCCTGATGGTAGGTACAGCAGTCAGGTCATCAGTGTTTCTGCAGCGTCTGTTCTTATTTCCATTATTTCCACCTTTGT